ATGACTTCTATAGACAATAACACAATTACACTTTCTATTTAAAACCTCTTGGTTTGTTGCTAGGCAAATGATACATTAATTGATCATCTCGTTTTAATACAATATTAAAATGTTTATTTCAAAATGTTAATCCAATTTATTTCGACAAACTGTGTCTTATGATTTATTAATCTGAATACAAATGTCAAGATAATTAAATTTAATCTTTATTATGCTTAACATTTTGTAGTGTTACAATCACTGACATTTGGGTGTAGTTTGCTTCACTGAAGACTATTTGTATTTATCTTTTTGTTATTCAATGTTTGATGTTAATTATAGTTCAGCTTTTAGATTTTGAATAGATTTTTTTAAGTTAAGAGCTGAAAGATTGGAGTTTTTCAAGTAATACATATCAAATGGATCGCGTATTTTTAATGGATCATAAAACATGTATCCTAATTTGGTATTCAAGAATATCAAGGTACTATATTGCATATAGTTTTTTGCTAATAATTAAATTCGAGCAAGGTCAGTTGCAAAAGCGGTAGTCTTGTTAAATGCAGGAAATGTCATTTCAAGTGACATTTTGTTCTTGCGAGCTATGACAGATGTCCAATGACTGTCAGATTTTTGCTTATTCCATAACATAACATCATAACATAACATCACGCCATTTATCCCCGAAGGGGTAGGCAGAGGTGCACACAGAAGTGACACCCACTTTTCACTATTTATGTTATGAGTCCCATGTAATATGGGGTGAGCCTATTGCCATATACCGGGCACATTTCCAGACTCCGTGCTACTACTGAGATTTTTAAAGCCCAGTAATACTTTGCCCGACCCGGGAATCGAACTCGAGACCCCTTGCCCGGCAGTCGCACTCGCGACCGGTCGGCCAACGAGGCAGTCATCGTATGTGTCGATAACAAAATATGTAGAGGACTATAGTGCAGCAATGGACTACCACAAGCTGTTGTAAGCTATGATGTTCTAGGTTCCACGTGAACAGCTAAGACCTACGTCTATACTTTCACCTAGGAAATGCATCCGATGTACCATGGCATTTAAAATCCATTGTCGCATTCAAATACTTTCCTATACTTCTACCGGTTGGGTAAAATGAGGAAATTGTGTTTATGTAATGGTGGTCGGATATCCTGAATTATTCAAGATTGATGACGTTACCGATAGTAGTAATTATTGGATTGGAACCGGATTACAACCATCTCTGATATATTTGAACCTTGCCCCGAACTTCCGACAGGAGTTGCAGCGGTTTTGGGAGGTTGTGAGGGCTTTGTACCATTAAAAAAAATACTTGAATTTAAGCTACGATGTCCAACGTATTTTCCAAGTGTGGACAATATGACAAATCTCTCTTACGTGGAGGAGGTCCACTGGATAGTAATAGGCTACAGGCCGTTGATGAGGATGATAATGATGATGATGATGAGGTAGATGTACTCTGAAGAGGATAGGCAGTCTTAGGTTGAAATTTTACTAGAAACTAGAAACTTGTACAACTTATTAGATATGTAAATAGAATGTAAATTTTAAATAAAACACATTATTTTTTTATTACAAATTACCATATTTTAAGATGCGCGCATAATGTGCACAGGCATAGTTCAATATTAAAACTTTAGGAGGCCCAATTACTCTCCCCTTCCCCAATCTTCCCAATTATCATACCTCAAACTCCTAATCCTCAAAAGGCCGGTAACGCACTTGTAACGCCTCTGGTGTTCCAGGTGTCCATGGGCGACGCCGATTGCTTACCATCAGGTGATGCGTCTGCTCGTTTATCGGCTTGTGCCATAAAAAAACTGTTTCTTAAAAAATGAAATTTCTGAATATGCCTAATACTTAAAATAATTCAACTTGTATTTCTCTTTTAAAATCTTTAAAAAGTCTTTACATTTTAATAACCAACAACAACAAAAAACGTTCTTAATCTAGTCCAAACGCATTACTCATGCAATGTACGATTAGTGAAACAGACAGACTGATCAAAAAAGGATACTTCGTATGCAGTAACTCGGCTCACGCAACCAGCGATTGCAAAAGTTCAATCCATTGGATTTACTCGCACAAAACGGTTGCCACGAGAAAGGTAATGATTTGTCATCGTTGCGAACTGAATAATAAACAAGAGACAATATTACATAAAGCTGTTATTTTGTAAGACTAAACGGATAAACAAACACATAACTAACAACACATTCTTTTATATTGTTAATATAAGAAAAAAAATTTTGGTAGATCCACGTAGTGACAAAAATAATTTATGACACAAAAAATTATTTCATAAATTATTTTTACAAGTTTTCTTTCATAAAAATAAATAATTCAAGTATTGTTTAGTTATTTATTATTTTATTTTATGATATTGTGTTTAAATTATTAGACCAAGCTTTGAGGCGTGGTAACCCTAGTCTGTCCTCGATAGAATAATCTAGATTCATGAGTTGCTTTCACTTTCAGCTCATAATGCCTTCCGCCTTAGATTCAAGCTCGCTATTAAATAAAGCCATACCTCACGATTACAAAGCACAAAAGGTGTGAACAGAAGTGCTCAAAGCTAATAATAGAAGTTACTAGTCATTGCATTTGCAAAATTATTTCAACTGTTAATGTTGACTGTCATCTAGGATTCTGTCGACATCAGCGACATACGGTGAAGGAAAATATCGAGAGGAAACCTGGACTTGTAGTTTGATATCGCTAATCCGCTTTGAATAAGCGTGGTGATTAATGAGCATTCCTTCTCCGTGTAACAAGAGGTATTTGCTCAGCAGTGTGTGATTATATGTTATTGATGTACGATCGCATTTCCATAAATCAGTTAGACTTTGTGCTATTATTACTGAGAAATGGGTACTGAAAAACTGCATTGATACTAATAAGCGATCCCAATGCATCCTAGGCCAGTGGCACTAGCGAGAATCATCAAAACAAAAACCCAATTAAATAAAACAACCCAACCCACCAAAATAAGTATATAATTATACTTTATTCGATGCTCCGAACTATAAAGCCTGTTCTAAACTTTGTATGAACAAACAGTAATATTTTAGTACTGAGTCATTCTACCAATTTATTACGTGTTCACGAAAATTTGAGTGTCTCGGAACTCTTAATAAGGAAATACGTAGTTCCCGTTTTTTAGTATTTAACTCATACCAACTAGGATGACCTAAAACTGTCTTGTTTTGAGTCTATTTTAAATTCCCAGTTTGTGGTAGACATAGATTCGTTGTTTTCTCGTTTTCTATTACATAATGCTAATAAATTATACTAGCGATAAGTGTGGTATTAAAAGGGCACCGTAACTTATCAGTTTCACAGAGGTGCACAAATACTTGTTTTTTTCTGAGAAGGGAAAAATATCCAATATCTTCTCCCGCCTTAGGTGAGACGAGAGGGAGTGTTCACAGACATAGATATAGATCTATGTTTGTGGGAGCGTCACACTCTAACTGACTAAACAACACCCCATTCTTACTCCTTTTCTTCTGTCTTCTTCAAGTCGGAGCCAGGGTAGCCCGCTTGGTCTTCCGCAGATGTTAAGTAACACTCAGTTTTGATCCGATGAGGCCTGTGTAATAAGGGGTAAGCTCACTGGATATTTGTGCGTTACGAAAGTTATGGGTACAGCCACTCCATTACAATGACCTACACAATAAAAAGATTTCACATTATTTTATCCAAAAAAAGAATTTGCCTAATATACCAGGATACAATGAACAAAGGCAACTACTATAATCACCTTTTACCGCTACACAATAGAGCCCATTCTTCTCTGTCCATGATCTACATAGGTATACCTCTACATACGAATTTCTGTCAAATTGCACCATTGTGTAGCATTTTGACATGTGTATGTGAATTTTAAAAAACAATTGACAGTTGTGTCACGAATTCATTGTTTAGTGAGAACAGAATTTTTGTTAGCAATTAGCTAATATTCTAATGTAGCAGTTACAGCAGCAAATTCATTTGTCGCCACGCCACCACTACTCTTCACGTGGGTTTCGTAAGAGCCGACTAAGGGGGCTACACATTTAACAGATCGTAAAGCATGCTCCTTCGTTTTAAATCTTTTAAATCGCGATCTTCAAACTAAACGCGGCGTCATGGCAAAACCTCTTCACATGGAAAAGGCCCCATAGTTTAACGGTAAACTGTAAATAGCTGTTGATGGTTGATGATGACGAAACATCAGCTCATGTAATGTAGATTTCCAGTCAACAAGAATGTGGCAAGGTTGACAGTTCAGGCGACACACGTACTTAGGTATCGTCATGAGCTAATGTTCACATGTAAACAGCAGCTCATGTAGTGTAGATGTCCAGTCAACTGATGAGTGCTTTCGAGGGTATCACACCATTATCGATGTAATGTAGAAATCTTAATTTATTACTTGCAATAACAGTAGATACATCTACAATTAGAAAACATAGCTTTCTAGTGCAAATGTTAGAAAGTGAACTCTTACTCGTCTTGTGTGCGGTTCAAAACCAATATTGGTTTATTTTTGTTTGCTCTTTTCGTAATACCTGAGTCAGTATTGAATATAGTCAATAAAAACCAACAATGTCATAGTTATGTAGGCGCTTGTTTGCTTTATACATTTCTTAAGTAAAATATGACGGTAATTCCAGTGCAAAATTGAGTGTACTTAATGTTTTGAGTATTTTGATAAAGACAATATAGATAAATTATTTTAACGACTAATCGCTACTGGCTTCTGGCTGAATTTGAAAAATCCATATTAGCTATGAAAATCGTACCCTTTGAGTACTGTCATTATAGACACAATTCAAGAACAATAGGTTGCGGTCACCGCTGTCCCCGCGGTGTTTGACAGTTTGTCCGTTTAATAATTTAAATAATTACTGCGTTTATCTACTCATTCAACAAAATTAAAAAACGATACAATATATATTACCTACTAAGCAAAAAAATACTCCTTTTAAGCATAAAACTCAACAAAATCCCTTTCATCTTTCCAGATTTCCCCGGAATGTGCTTCGCTTCAACACGTTGCGCGACTGTCGAGCCTGGCAATACCTGGGACCTGGCTCCCTTCTGTGGACGCAGCACCTGCTACGTCAGCGAGGACCAGCCACCCAGGCTTCTGGAGCTCGTTGAGGACTGTGGACCTCTGCCTCTGGCTAACCCCAAGTGCAAGTTGGACACTGGTATGTTGAAAACAGTTAAATCAGCAACAATTTGTGCATTCTTTCAAATTATTATTAGAAGAAAAAAATTCACCCACTTTTTGGTTATTACTAAAACAAGTCCATCGTCATTAGCTATATTTCAAGTTCCGGTTATTTGGGAAAGCTCGAATATGACAACAATTTTGAGTATTGAGAGTATTTGAGAGATTGAGTACATGATCAATATGAAATACGTCAAATTCTATAGCTACACCAGATTGTATTGTTCCTAACTCACATCCTAACAGCAATAGAGGTAGTTAATGAATGCATTTTGATTTCGTAACTAAATAACATTTGTCTCAATTTTCAGAGAAGACCAACAAGACCGCGCCCTTCCCCGGCTGCTGTCCTATCTTCACTTGCGAGGATGGCGTGAAGTTGGAGTACCCTGAGCTCCCCACCCCTCCCCCAGAAGCTGAGAAGAAAGAAGAAGAAAAGAAAGCTTAAGAAGTCAACAGAAGCTAGGGCATTTTACACCTATAAACAACACTAAAGTCTGCTACCACAATGCAAACGTGATTGGTCGGATATCACACGATAACTCAAATGCTGGATTCTCATTGGCTGGCTGTTCTAACAGTGATGGGAAAGTAAAATGCCCGGTGATACGTTTTTTAACAAACGTATGAAGAAAAATTGGTCTCAAAAAATATTCCTTTAATACTTACACCAAATGTTCTGTTTGACTGGAATAAGTTTTGACCACGATATATTAATTTTCTTTGTAATTTTTTGCTACTTTTATCTTGCCTTGACGGTAAAAATTTGACTAAAAAACCTATGATTTTTATCAGTTCTAGTTAAACAGTCGTGCGGAACATATTTTCGTGGTTAGTAAGCACAGTTTTTGATGTGGCCGAGTTACGAATGAGTTCAAAAGTATTCTTTTATTTCCTGCTCTTTATTAACTTAACAAATAAATCTGATAACGGCCGGTTTAGTCATTGTCCACAGTAGGAAGTGTATTCACACTGAAACCATGACTCATGATTGTGATTTGCGTAGCTGGGAAAATTTACAGAAAATAAAATACACAAAAAAATATTTCATAAAAATAAAATACGATACAAAATTTTTTTAAGAATACAATTTCAAAAATTTAATAAACATGACAAAAATTTTTTTTGTGTTTATTTTTTGTAAATTTTCCCGATGCGTGTTTTGTTTTTTTTAGAAGTTTAGTTTGTCATCGGCTTTTTTTACTTGAATACCTACCCTAATTATAATGTTTTGTGATATTGATAACATAAAAATATAAATAGAAAAGTTATTCAATAAAAAATACAAAATTTCTATATTGCGTGTTTTATTTTTCCCTGTTCTTTGATTGGACGCGGACCTTTAGTAAAGATTTTTTTACGACACTGATTAATAAAAAGCAATAGGTACTTGGAAACAATATTTATATTGATTGAATAGCAATATTTTTTGTTTTTAGTTCAATAGTAGGTAAAGTGCACCTCTACCTACCTCTTCGGGGATAAAAAGGCGTGATGTTATGTTATGTAGTAGGTAAAGTATTCATGCATAGTTAAAAATTATTGTAATTGAAAGGATGCAGGTCGCTTCCAACTAGCCTATCTGGAAGTCGTTATCTGTGAACGTTGTGTGGTTGATAATTATTTATGGGCCACCAACAAAGCAGACACCAAAATACATGATAGGTTTTTTAACATATTTTAACACTCTATAGTGTAGCCTTAATTAAAGGCTGCCAGGATATTACAACAAAAAGTTCGCTTATCAAAAAAAAAAGACATCATGTTAAATCACAATTGTAAAATTTAAATTATTATTTTTTTAATTTTTAAACTGTAAATTTTTTATTCGAATGGAGTATATAGTGCAGTTTAACTCTGTGAGAATGTCCTACGCAGGACAGATTTCACTTTGAAAAGAGAGTAAGACATGTCAATATCCGCACTAAGTGAGTATGACAGGCGACTAAATTGTTCCTGAATTCTATTCATTGAGGAAAAATGACCCAGGCTTGTTTTAAAGCCTTTACCTGAAAGCAACCGATATCTAGACATTCGAGCCAGTTCGTAGGGCACATTCACATTAATCTGGCTAAGTAACTGCGTACAGTCAAGTGATTGTTTATTAGTTTGTACAGGAAGAGGTGATCTAGGACTTTACGGCGATTATCTAATCTAAATCTAAATATAATGATTGATGATGATATATCATTAAAAACATTACCCTCCTTCTTTGGCAGTCGGGTAAAAATAAGTAACCACAAGTAATTAACTCAATATTTTATTCGGGAATAATGAATTTAATTACAATTAATAAATACACAATACATTAATGATTGTCAACACTTTATAATACGTGTAACTGTATAATATAATAAATTTTAATGAACCGTACACCTAAAAACCTTAATTAATCATTAACATAATAATAATAATCCATAAAATACACAACAGTAACATCTATGCAATGAAAAATTTAAATTAACAAACACATTTTTTAAAAGCGAATACATCCTTATGATTTAAAATTAACAGTCTATTAATACACATTTTTAACTTTCATCTAATCTAAACATTCATTTTCTTAACGTACATCATGATATTACATGTAATTTTTAAAACATTATTTTTTACTATACGATAAAATATAATCAACTATATTTTTAAAATCACATTTTTCCTAATTTTATAACATTAATATTGCACAAGATAGACACAGATCGCGGTTACAAAGTTATATATATCGGTTGAGCCGATTTTTAACGAAACCCGAAGCCTCACGACAAACATTGCGACTGACATTAAGCTGTATATAATATTACAAATTATGCTATTATACATCTGCAGTATGTATAAACCACAATACTATTATTGGCAATGACAACATCGATTTATATTAAATGTTATATGATTAAAATAATTGCGAAAAATATTCATTATTGTTAAAAAAAACTATTGAAATAAATCATTCTTTTGCAATCTCGATTCGCGTTATTTCGCAATATATATATTTCGTTTTTTTTTTATAATTATTAATAACATGTTAACGAAAAAGGCAGAAAGATGCAATTTATTTGTGTCATAGTTCGAGAAGAAGGATTGTGATTTCAAATTTTTCTGTATATAGTTAAAAAATAATTTATGTGCATCGTGTTATATAATCTACATAGTGTTATTAAGAAAATCTCACCAAAATATATATTCCTTGAAGGCTTTAGAAATCAAAATGATTGATATGTTATAAATTGTACATCACAATAATTTGAAATAAAAAGCTATACATATTAATGAAAAAACCAGTCATATGAAATCAAACACTTCAATTTTTATGACAATTTATTTTATGAATCATAAACTGGTTTATTCAAGAAAAATAAAATAATATTTCATAGCAGTATTTTATTTATGGAAAAATACATTTTCATATTTATTTTATTAGAGTTGAAATAGTAGCTACATAACATTTAAAAATATGATTTTATTAAGCGAAAAGAGGTAGTAATCGGAAGATGCAAAAATATTTATTTATTTTATGATTAAATATTTTTTTAATGTAAATTTTAATGAAATACTCTTCGATTTTTAGCTCAAACTTTGCATGACGACAATCAATACATTTTTTCCTATTTTTATGTACATTTATTAGAATAATTCCTCTCATTTTGACCTTTCTTTTATACTTACAATATTTTTTTATTTTTACTTTCCTACTACCATTACCTGGATATGCTTGTTTTAGAGCTGAACTTAACCGTTGTCCTAATTCTCGAGAATTTTCGACATTTTATGAAATTTTAGTTTTTAGTTTGGATTTTTGGGAGCACTGAGTGCTGAATTTGGTCATTTGAAGTAGCATGTTGAGTCAAGAAATAGGAGCCGACACCTAATTTATAAAGCGTCAGCATACATTTAGATAAAATTAACACAACTTTATAAAAATGCTTAGCAAAAATAATTTAAAAAGCGTCACCAAGTTACTTATTCATTAAAATAGACATTTATCATTGCATAAACATGAGAGTAAAAAATATATAGTTTTCAGCTATTAAACTACCTATTCCAATGAACAGACAGACGATTAACTATTATTATTAGATACTTTTTCTATTGAACTGTCAAAAATTTTTGACAGATTGCTTTTTTTTCTGCTCATATTTTGACAGCGGAATCGTAAGTGTCACATCACTATATATATCCAACTTTTTCAGCTAGTTACATCGATATTTATTTTGAAAGTTATTTTTTCTACGTTTGCTTTTTAGAACTACGTCATGAAGTCCCTCCTTAAGCCATTGGTTAATTAAACGCTCTAGTTAATCGAGAAAATTAATTAATAAATGTATGTATGGGATTGACACTGACATTCAACAGATTATGTCCAAACTTATGTCAATCCCATACACTAATATTTTTAGTCAATCGTTCGACTAGTGTCATTTGTCTACAAGGAAGTGCCTATCGATATGCATGATATATAATTTCACTAGCGAACCGTCCGTCTTCACACGGGTGCAATATGTATGTATTATACATATAAACCTTCCTGAAGAATCACTCTATCTATTAAAAAAACCTCATCAAAATCCGTTGCGTCGTTTTAAAGATCTAAGCATACATAGGGACATACAGACGGTGGATAGCGACTTCGTTTTATACTATGTAGTGATGTTGCTGTTATAGCTTTGAGCTTCGGCAATATCACGTGTTTTAGTTTAACGATTGATGTTGTAAATGATTGTAGAAATTCAATCAATTCTGACTAGTATTTTTCTAGGCACTCAGATTTTTAAAACATATTTTATTTTGTAATTCTATTTACAAATTGTTGTCCATAAATATGTATTAATGCATGAATGTATATTGTGTTGCACTCGTGTGTAGGTACATATATTATAATTATGTTTATTTATGTTTATCTCTGAAATGTATAATTAGTGTATCTATTTTAATTGTTCAATTAAATCGTTGCTTGCTTCTTGCTCACACCATTAACTCTTCTCTGCATGAAAATGCCTATGGCAATAAACTGTCAAACACCAAGCGGTCACCGGTGACCGCAACCTATTGTTCTAATTGTGTCTATAATGACGGTACTCGACGAGTATCTTATGTACACTTTGCGCATGAAGCTTTAATAAATAAATATCGATGTAACTAACAATTCATTAACAATTTACCACTATAAACTATTTAATTATACATATCTTAACAATTATGTTAATCTTTGACATTTTTCCACTAAAATCGGTTTCTTGAAGCTCAGTTTAAAGGATTTATTTTTCAAGTGTAATTGTTTTTTTTTCAACAGACCTCATTTTTGTTGCAACTAATTTTTTTGTATGAACATTAAACTGTCTAACATCTATAACAACAAGCTAAATTGTACATCTATAGTTACGCTAAATTCTATAAAACCTTTATAAATGTATACAATATTTTGAATTCTGATGATTTTTTTACTAAATATATTTTTCAATACGTCATAACATCGATTCGAACTACTTTTACGGAATGTAAGCTTTAACATGTAACAACAAGCGTTTCATACTATTTTTATTTATTTATTTTATATATATATATATAATATAAATATATACGTATTATTATTATATATATAATTTTAACAAAAAAGTTTGCTAACTATTAAATGAAGCAATATTTAATTGCTGTTGTTTAGAATGGCTTGCAACATCGGGCGTTTCTTACATCACTTTAAATCTCACCTAAAATTGACCAGCCTCGTGCAATTGCATATCTTTCTTAAATTTTAACAATTAATTTAGAATGTCCCTTCTTCAAGCATCTTCGCATATGGAAAGTAAATTTTTTGACACAATTCATTTTTTTTTCATTTTAATGATGTACACACATGGATATGAGATGTTATTTTTTTTTAGATTTCAATTTTGGCAGTTTGTTAATTACTCTGATTGAATTGATATATTATTATTTCATATATAATAGAAATTCATAATATGAATAATAAATTGTAATTGTTTATTTTTTTTTGTTGAAAAAAAAAAAAGCAATTCAAAATCAATGTCTTTTATTTAAATTTGAAAAAAAAAAAGTCCAATATTATATTATATTATATTATAATATAACCAAAAAAAAAATTGTTAACAAAAAAGTAATTTTAACAAAAACTCTACTCTCTTTGTGCGATGTGAACCCGACCATTAGTAATAATTACTACATTTTTAACAATTAATTTATAATTCTAACAATATTTTTTATTAAAATTCTTAACATTCATCATCCAACCATTAATTATTAATTAAAACGTCAATATAGCTTGAAGATTTGAATTTAGTTTGAAATGATATGTCACATAAAATAAGTAATAATATAATCACTTATAGAGATACAGATAAATATAATTTAAGTGAAATTTTATTCAATTTTTAATATTATAAGAGGAACAATAAATTAACAAATTATATTTGGTATTTTATTTTAACACAACATAATTTTAGTAAATTATTGTTAAATAAATTTTGTGTTAAATATGTCAATATGCACATCATTTCAAACTAATAAGTTTTTAGGAAAAGTTAATTTTCAACATTTTGATTTTCATGTTTTTTAGAAATATCACCAATTTTTTTGATTTTAATTTTAAGTCATTTTAACATTTTTTTTACTTTTAAAGATAGTCAAGATTCGAGAAATAGCGTGTGCTTCGATGAAATAGAATCGTGATAAAAACATTTATAATTTTCTTTTATCGAACAGAAAATAACGAAACAATATAACTTTTGATTCCACATAAAAATAAAAACATAAAAAAAGCAGTAATTTAATAAACAAAACCATTTTTAACAAACAAAATAATTATTTTTAACAAACTTCAAAATTTTAACAAACATGAATTAAGAGCACAACGCCAATACAAGGACAGTTCAGAGAGTGGTAGTGTCATTAAATTTTGTTAACCATTCAGTCTTATGACGTTTTTGTAATTTTTTATTTTATTTTTTGCTCTTTATTTTCCATTTCACTCTGGTTTGAGGCGATGCCATTGGACGATGGTCTGTCGCGGCTTCGTGATCATATCTTGCCAATGTTTCGTTTCTGTTGCGCCGGATCCATTTTTACCTGGAACATGTATTTAAATTATAAATTAATATCGATGGCTTAAAGTTTTCAAAGAGACTTGGAGTGGACATAAAAACCATCACGCCTTTTATCCCCGAAGGGGTAGGCAGAGGTGTACATAATGCCACTGTACAATGTGACCCCCACTTTTCACTACTTATGTTATGAGTTCCATGTAATAGGGGGTGAGCCTATTGCCATATACCGGGCACAATTCCAGACTCCGTGCTACTACTGTGATTTTCTTTAAAAACCCAGCAATACTTTGCCTGACCCGGGAATCGAACCCGAGACCCCTTGTCCGGCAGGTGCACTTGCGACCACTCGGCCAATGAGGCAATACTTTGAGTGGATAGTGGATTAAATTGTACGCAGTTGCATCTCATTTCTTATTTTTGAATTACTTGGTAACCAACGCCGTAGGCATAGTATAGCTTTTAGGTATCCCACAGCTAGAGGAGGCATTAGATGATGTTTCGGCCCCAAAAATGTATTTAAACTTTTAGCCGACCTGCGACCTGCATCTATAACCTTTATATTGAGGGGAGAAAATGATCCAATGGCTTCTTCCACCTTGGGTGAGGCGAGAGGGAGTGTCAGACTTTTACTGACTAAAAAATCCCCCGTTCCTGCTCCTGCTTCTAACCGAAGCCCCGGTGACCCGTATGGTCATCCACAACCCATGTGGTTAGTCCCTGGTCTGCCTAACGTAAAAATAAAAAGCCTTAAAACTACCACTTCCAGCACTTACCAGCTAACAATATTCTTCCAATCAGCTCATTTCTCCCGATATTATCAAAGTCCATAACCTGGACATCCAAGGAGCACTCCCTAATCTTCTCCCAAGGGACGTTGAATGAGAAGGAGTCGTTGAAGACAGGGTTCAGCGTGCACTTGAAGATCGCCGTCTTGCGTTTCTCTATGCGCTTGTCACCGAATTGAAGCCATACTTTCACGTAGGGGTCTGAAAAGAGATAGTTAATTTTTTAATTTAGGACTTCGTCACGTCAAAAAGTCGCCGTGCGCCAGGGCAATAGCCCACGTAATTATTAAATTAAAATTTGACGAAGAACTCGACTATTTGCCAGCCATTTTTTTTAAGCGGGAATATCATCGAATGTCTGCTCCCGCCTGGGTGAGGCGGTAGTGAGTGTCAGACTCTTACTGACTAAAAACCACCCCGTTCTTTCTCCTGCACGTCGAGCCAGAGCCCCGGTAACCCGTTAGGTTCTCCCAGCCATGCTAGAGGCTGATATTCAGTAGCAACACGACAGTCGCCGCGTCGCAGATCGCAGAATGCTGCTCATGAATATGAGCCTCTAGCACGGCTTGATACTAGTTGAGTTCCTCGTCAAATAGTTACGTGAGTAAGCCGAAAACATAATTACTCTGCTCTGCTCCATTTGTTAAGAGAAACTGTTATTTTCGAAAACCTTTAATGGCAGAAAATTATAAGTGTCAAACTCAAACACAAAAGCATTTATTTTAATTAAATCATAATTTGGTACTTTCGAAACGTCAACAAATATAAAATAAATAATAGTCTTGTCAGTCTATTCGTCAGTGAAGCTAGGCGCTCGTTCCAAAATGTAGATTCGAATGGAGAAGAACGAGCAAGAAAAAAGTATGTTCTACAATGTCTCTGATACATATTCCAATACTGTACGCATATGTGAGAACAATGCAAAGATACGCTCGACGCATTATACAAATTACAAAACTTACTAAAATAAAAGTGTCTGGATTTATATTGATCGGTTGCTAAAATAAATCTGACATAAATGAATGTGGAATTGATAATTTTTATTTGTTTATTTTTTGTTCAATGTTATCTTGAAGACATTTGCAATTCGTGAAAATTGCTATTAGATATTTTATAGGCGTTTACAATGTGTAGTAAATATCTGAGTTATTTTTAGGACAATAAGTTCAAAAGAAGATAGCCTCGTTGGCCGAGTGGTCGCAGTTGCGACTACCGGGTAAGAGACCTCCGGTTCGATTCACGGGTCGGGCAAAGTATTACTGGGTTTTAAAAAAATCTCAGTAGTAGCACGGAGTCTGGAACTGTGCCCGGTATATGTCAATAGACTCACCCCTACTACATGGGACTTATAACATAAATAGTGAAAAGTGGGTGTTACATTGTACAGTGATATAATGTGCACCTCTGCCTACCCCTTCGGGGATAAAAGGCGTGCTGTTATGATAAGTTACATTTCAAAAGAAGCTGTATATTTATATAGCTGCTTCCATCCCGTGTATTCTTATTCGGGTAGCAGAATTTCAAGTGCCAGAGATTCCAAGAGCCATGCTTCGGCACGAAGTGGTACCACGGCCGAGCAGAAAACCGACGTGAAATAACAATTGTGTTGTGTTTCGTAGTGTGATTGAGGTTACCGGGGGCCCAATTACCCCTCTGCCCAATCTATCCAATCCCCAAATCCCCAACAATCCTCAAAGCCTCAAATTCCTAATCCCCAAAAGGCCGGTACCGCATTTGCAATACCTCTGGTTTTGCGGGTGTCCATGAACGATGCCGATTGCTTACCATCAGGTGATCTGTCTGCTCGTTGTACCGGTGTATTCCATAAAACGAATCCCTAAATTTTACAGGAATGGGAAATACATGTATAGTACATCATTATTTTGTTATACTTGGTTTGTTTTTGTTCTTTTCTTTACCCTTTTAAGTTTATTAGAGGTATTATTATTTTGTACTACATGTAAAAGTATCTGTATTTTGATTTTTTATAATTTTTGTATTTGTGTGCCTATTCATCAAATAAATGCTTTTTCTTTCTTTTCCTAAATACGGTTTCCTTTTAATTTTCAATATTAGTATTAGGTACTACCGCGCGGGTTTTATCCACTGCTCGGCTGTTGGTGATCATAGTGTTAGGCCTATGTTACTGACCATCCCTTCAACTATCTCCACTTAAAAAACATGTCAATTCGCCGCTCCATTTTGCCGTGAAAGACGGACACAAACAGACAGCAACTTTCCAATTTATTATATACATAGTTATGGATAAAAGAGACAGGTAAGTACCTGATTTCCCATTAATATCTTTAGCCTTCAGGTTCCTCGCCTTCAACAGCGTCAGCGTCAACACACTGTTGCTGGGATGGTAACATAATGATGTCAGCAACTCGCCACACTTATCCTTCGCTGGCGGCTTCAGAGCTTTCCAGAATGATGGCTTCTCGCTCAGGTCCACCTGGAAGGTAAGAGACAGAAATATTTGAGAAGGTAAATTTGATAAGGTTGATATTAGTCTCACGCTGACCGTCGGCGCTGACAGCCGAGGTATATGAACTTCTAGATAGCGTTGAATGGCGCGTAGATATAAATGCACATGGTGGTCTACGCGGGCCCGACGCGCTACACGTACGGCCATTAGGCCGTACGTGTAACTTTAGTATCGTGCTGATTACAGCACGATACTAAAGTTGGTTTTTCGAGAAATATGAACTTCTAGGAACCGTGTACGCTGATTACTCTATTACTATTATATATGTATTATTATAGAATTTATTTATTTAGTATATTTATGTATAGATGAGCATGCATATATATACCTACCTATATATTTATGTTGTATGTATATTGTAGTGTAAATTTTAAATATTTTTAGTACCTTTCTATATTTATAAAGTCTATTTATGTTATTTGTCTCTAATAATTACACATGCCTATTTTTTCGCCGTTTTCCATTTTAACCCTAATGTTGACTGGGAGAGAATGCTATATGGCATTAATGTCCGCCTTATGTACCATTACTTGTTTGTGTGTACATTAAAGCTTAAATAAATAAATAAATTACTACGCATCATTCAAAAACGCTACCTAGAAGTTCATAGTCCAATTCAGCGCTGACAGACAGCGTGTGGTCAGCGCAACACTGAAACCAGCCCAAAAAGTCAACGATCAGCGTGCGGTGAGCGCGTTTAACTAGCCCTAAAGATAGAAATCAATTGTGAACAAAAGTTTTTATGATAATATGAGATAATATGTAGAAGATACATTGATAGGGTTGCCAAGCCGGTGTCGCGTTTCATTTACGGTTACTGGGTCTAGCAAAATTTTATAGGCCTGTTTAAGTCTTAGGAAACATTTTCAGTAGATAGTAGTATGAAATAGTGGCCGTAGGTTCACCCTTACTGCGATGATCAAGGGACAAGCATGTCTCCCTAGGGTTGTGCTGTATCAGGCGTTGCACCGTGGGGGCTACGGAGCAGGTCTCTCCAAAGGACCCTGTGCCCCTTACAGGTGCTGAGGGTGGTTTTAGTGAGGTAAGAAACCCGCACTTCCTAGTCTTTCTCCCCAAAAGTTAGGCACCTTTTGAAGGTTTCCCCCGACATAAAAAAAGGTTCACCTCTACTACATGTACTACTCACTATATAGCTGCTGAAAAATGGGTGTTACCTTGTATAAGTTTAGTGTACTCCTCAACCTAACCTTTTGGGGATTAAATACCGACGCAGCACGACAGTCGCCGCGTTGCGGGTCGTGGAAGGCTGCTCATGAATATAAGCCTCTAGCATGGCTTGAAACTAGTCGAGTTTCTCGTCAAATAATTACGTGAAAAAGTCGAAAAACATAATTAATCTAGTTAACTGATCAAAAGGTCATTTTGAACCTTTTGTTTATAGTAAAGTTTTAAGTTATAATTAAAGGTCAGTCATTAACTTTGTTGTCGTAATACAATATTTTATTACTTTAGGCTGTTAGGTTAAACTTTATAACATTAACTTAACTTCACGCCTATTTTTCTATAAAAGTGTACGCAGTGAAATATAAAAATGATTGTCTTTGTATTAAAACTAGCTTCTGCCCGCGACTTCGTACGCGCAATCCCGTTCTTTCCCGTGAAAAGTAAAAAAAAAATCGAAGAGAAAGTTTCCTATGTCCGTGTTCTAAGCTACCTCCCTACCAATTGTCATTCAAATCGATGTATCGAAATGTGCCCATTCTTGAGTTATAAAATAAAAGTGTAACTAACACGAGTTTCTTACCTATAGATTAATTATAGGCGTGTAATTTCAACTCATTACGAAGAGGTTTTTCGATTTCGATTCCTGGTAAAGTACTTTTATGGTTCTCAATATAAAAAATTCTTTGTAGTTTTGAATAATAGAGTTAATTAAATAAACTCACTTTTATAACACGACGGCAAGCAATTATTTTAGTAAACTTCTTTGAAAAATAGAACTTCATGCTATACTAAATAATATTTGAAACTGATAAGTCCAATAGTATTCAGTCGATCTGGAAATGGAACCCAAAGCTCTAGAGTAATTACAAAATTGTTATGTCCCATACCTACTACCTGAGAATCGAACCACATACTCAGCAGTACCGCTTCTAACTATTTCAATGACGAATCACAATCACCATTAAACTCAATATTATATCGGAATAGTAGAAACTAAATTAAAGGGTCAAATTCCATTAGCAAACAGATCGAATATGATCGATTTTCATTTGTTTGCAAACCATTCGATTACGGGCTGAATGAAACTCATCTCGGTAGTAGATAGGACTTGTAGAATTATAGATAGATAATAAAGTTGTAGGTAATAAAGTCACCACCCTTACTCTTCTCGCGGGTGTAGAAAGAGAGGACTATTCAATAATCGATTTCAATTCAAATTATTTACATTAAGATCCACTTTGACTGCCTCGTTGGCCGAGTGGTCGCAATACAAGTGCGACTGCCGGGCAAGGGATCTCGGGTTCGATTCTCGGGTCGGGCAAAGTATTACTGGGTTTTTAAAAAATTCTCAGTAGTAGCACGGAGCCTGGAAATGTGCCCGGTATATGGCAATAGGCTTACCCCCTATTACATGAGACTCATAACATAAATAATATCTATGTTAACAAACTACGTTATTGGTACAGTGTAGAATAAGAGTGGATTTTGTTGACAATATTAAGTGCTACAACGAGTCGTAGATATCTTAGTCCGCTCGCAATAAGAGGGGCGACTTAATTTTTAATTAACGGTCTTAAACGGAGTCGGATGGCATAGTACACTTAACTTAAGTACCTACGTAACACGAGAAATTTTGTATATAGGTAGTATAAGTACGTAAGGGTACTTGGGTTTTTACAAAATCTCAGTAGTAGCACGGAGTCTGGAATTGTGCCCGATATATGGCAATAGGCTCACCTCCTATTAATTGGGACTTATGACATAAATAGTGAAAAGTGGGTGTTACATTATACCTCTACAGTGGCATTAAGTGCCGTAAAGTGCACCTTTGCCTATTCCTTCGGAGATAAAAGTGATCGTCAATCTCGTGTATTATGGATAACCAACCTAAACCGCTGGAACTCCCGTAAGCCAGTATCTACAGTAGATACAACGATGAAAAAACCGGAACACTGAAGTCCGGCGCGTCCCAGGGACATGAATAACTAGGCCTATCATATCAACAGCCTACAAGCCCACTGCTTAGCAAAACCTCTTCTCACATGGAGGTTTGAGCATTAATCACCACGCTTGCTCAATGCGGATTGATTTGAAATTTATAATTAAAAATTATAAGCCCAGGTTTCCTCATGATGTTTTCCTTCACCGTTTATCAGTGGTGACCGAATAATCTTGGAAAGTACATGTAACTCGGAATACATCACATTGGTACTTGCGGTTGGTAGGTTCCGATCACGCATCCTAATGCATGAGAAGCAGGCGTCTTAAGGCTCTGGGCCACCACGATAATACTGGGCCTATGGGTAAGCCTTTTTTTACTGGGACAAGCCCGCCACAACCTCCCAAAACCGCTGCAACTCCTGTAAGCCAGGATCTACAGTAGATACAACCATGAACACTGAAATCGGCGTCTCAGGGACATGAATGACTGTCTTGGTTCCCGCAACGAAGTGAATCGAATATGGGTAAGCCTATTAAAATTACAATTGGGACAATATCAGGCTCCTATCTTTGTAATTGTTCCCACTAGAATAATTTTTGTCCAAAAGTCCAAGACCCGGAAATAGAATCAGTGAGATCTGTTTCTTGGCAGTCGTATTAGTGACTTTTGAGACCACTCAATCAACGATCTAGGATCCTTTATAAACATGGTCTTACCTGACACAGAGGCAGGAACACTTCTCCAATGGAGTCGTCTCTCGAAAACCGATCGTAGTCGAACACGTGGAGATGGAGCACCTGTAACAATTACAATACATGATTAATATCTAAACAATCAACAAAAAAGTATAGGGTAGTACAAGTAAGCGTATCATTAGGAGGACCGCCCAAAAGACACGAAACAGTCATGCTAGGCGGGGCGCGTGAGGGAACAAACCTCCTCATGCCCCAACCATCGCGAGACACACTCCGGGTGTTGGAGATCGCGAGACGATTTCCGGCCACAGTAAGCACAGGCCTGCGGACGGCGAGCATGGGTAACTCGCCGGCCGACCAGAACCAGACCCGAACGTATGGCGCGTCGCGTTCCGCGCGCGCCTCAAAGAGCCATCAGACCACCACAGACGCCGATACGAAGTCGCGGAAGATTTAACGGGTTGCCGGGGCTCCAGTTCGAAATGCAGGAGAAGGAACGGGGTGGTTTTGGGTAAGTAAGAGTCTGACAGTCCCTCTCTCCTCACTCGGGCAGGAAAAGTGATTGGATGATTTTCCTCCTCATAAAAAAAAGGACAAGTAGGCGTCTGTTTAATCCGACAATTTGATAATGGAACAAACTAGTAGACTAACTAATAAACTAATGTATTGAATGAATCTAGGTAGATAAAGTCAAAAGTTAGTAGTGGACATTGACTACGTCACAAGTGACGTTTAGTTTGAGTGATATTTATATAAGTCGGCGGAGGAGCATGCATGAAAGGAATGATGAACTAAAAGAGGTATCATAGCAATTCGCGTTCCATCATCTCTACTCTGCCTACCCCTATGGGAGACAGGCGTAAGGTTATGTAAGATATATAAGTGGTATATTATGCAAAATAAAATCAGAAAAAAAAAGAAGCGTCCGAATGTCTGTAAAAGTAGTGGTATCTAAAATTATACTGCTAGATGGACATTCAAATAGAATTTTTCTTCCCTATTGTATAACAAACATATTTACATTTTAGCTGTACCTCTATCTGTCCCACAACAGAACAAAAGCCTAGAAGTTATGTTTACGAGTCTGTTAGGAAGTCGGGGCTAAGTTATAGCCAGACCAACCGCGCTCATTACATTCTACGGACCATATTTCTACCTAAAATGTTACCTTGCGTAACATATGAGCAGCAAATCTTGAATGTAGTACTTACCTCTTGATTTTCGCTTATATGAAAATTGGTATACCCTCCATACATAGCTATTGTTTTCACTCTTTAGTCTTTAAAAGGAGCCTATAGCTTCTTGGGGCGAAAGAATGGAATAGGAAGAGTGAAATCATAATATAACATCACATAACATCACGCTTTTTATCCCCGAAGGTGTAGGCAGAGGTGCACATTATGGCACTGTAAAATGTAACACTCACTTTTCACTATTTATATTATGAGTCCCATGTAATAGGGGGTGAGCCTATTGCCACATACCGGGCACAATTCCAGACTCCATGCTATTACTGAGATTTTTTTTAAAACCCAGTAATACTTTGCCCGACGCGATATATCGAACCCGATACCCCTTGCCCGGTAGTCACATTTGCGACCACTCGGCCAACTAGGTAGTGGCATTAAGTAATTTGCACCTCTTCCTACCCTTTTGGGGATAAAAAGGTGTGATGTTATGTTATGTAGGGAGTATGAAATTTTTATTGCATTAAAACTCCCCGGTGGCCATGCACTATCACCACTAATAAGGGGGCACTGGGTTTTCTAAATTATTAACTGGAGCTTACTCTTGAATCCAATTCCAATCGATCGACATTGGTATTGTGAAATTTCATACTCTTGAGTTGCAACACTAGCGCCCATTGCATCCGTATTGCGTGGATATTGAATTAACAAAATGGTATTGAGTTTGGCTTTATATTCCGTACACTGATTGCTATATTAACAGCTTTTTTTTTTTTTTTTTTTGATGAGATGACTTTGAATAACTATTAAGTTTTTTTTTTTTTTTTTTTTTTATTAGTTTCAAGAGTAAGGAGCCTGATCTTTTTTTTTTTTTTTTTTTTTTTTTTTTTTTTTTTATGGCATAAGCCGGTAAACGAGCAGACGGATCACCTGATGGTAAGCTATCGGCGTCGCCCATGGACACCTGTATGGAACACCAGAGGCGTTACAAGTGCGTTACCGACCTTTTGGGGATTAGGAGTTTGAGGATCGTTGGGGATTCAGGGATGGGGGAGATTGGGGAAGGGGAGGGTAATTGGGGCTCCGGTAACCTCACTCACACGACGAAACACAACGCAAGCGTTGCTTCACGGCGGTTTTCTGTGAGGCCATGGTATCACTCCGGTCGAGCCGGCCCATTCGTGCCGAAGCATGGCTCTCCCACACTTAAAACTCTTAACTTACTCTCTCTAACTAGATCTTAACTTAATGTCTTTTTTTTCTTTAATATAACGTTGCCCCACACTAGGATTATATCCTGTGTCGTGGGTGCGTTTACAAATATATAAGTTCACATACACAATGACACCCAGACCCGAAACAACAATTTGTGGATCACACAAAGTGTTGTTCCGTGTGGGAATCGAACCCGCGACACGTTGCACGGCAGCCGGTTGCCCAGCCACCGCACCAACCGTGCAGAAAATGTCTTTGGTTTAAGATCGAGTTTTCGCATTAGTTGTATAGAGTTTTTATAGATGAAAATGTAAATGAAAAAATCTTCTATTATCATAATTTATAATTACATTGAGTGATCGTGTTTGGAGACTCCTTCAAAGCAAGATGTGTCTTTGTTAGGAGATTGCGCTTTCCTATGGCAATTTTTTACAAAATTAACAATAACAGTATGTTTACAAACAAAATATATTATAAAAAAACATTAATAAAAACTTTTTTGGCTATGGCAGTATAATTTGGAATATATGGGTAAATTTTATGCACGATTATGCGCGCGCGCGTATGTAAGGCTCCGAAGGCTCGTACACAAGACTGTGATGCGAATTCGCAACGCAAAAAATTACGATGCGAATTGCTGCGATGCGATTTCGTTCGACAAGGCGTCTCTCAGCGTGACCATTCCTTCGACGACCGTCAACTATACTAAATGTATTTTAAATTGAAAACTAGGTCGTGACATAGATCGCAAAAAGAAGTGTGCACTTCAGTTATTGCTTAGGAGATAAAGGAAAAAGGATTAGAAGATTTTGGCAAGATAAGATTTACATGCGGGATGCGAATCAATTCGTAAGTTCTTGCAATGCGTAGAGGGAGCTCGCACATTTTTGCAATGCGACGTTGCATCACAGTTTTGTGTACGAACTGAGTGAGGGTGTGTGCGGAAGAATAGATATTTAATATTCTGTCTTTCTTTGTCAGTTTCTTGGGAGTTTATTGTCAAAAACTTCGATTTTGGATTGATATCAGTGATTCATTTTAACCTTTAACTCGTTGAGTACCGTCATTATAGACACAATTAAAGAACAATAGGTTGCGGCCACCGGGATCCTTGCGGTATTTGACAGTTTAATGGACCATGTTAAAAGATGTTGATTGAATCAAAGACCTCTCCACATAACAAAAATATTTCTGTATACATTAAAATACCCAAACTGAATATTCCTAAGGTTGTCGTGGTGGCCCGGAGGTTTAAGACGCCCACTTCTCATGCATGAGGGTGCGGGTTCGAAACCTACCAACGGCAAGTACCAATGTGACTTTTTCCGAGTTATATGTACTTTCTAAGATTATTTAGACACCACTGACAAACGGTGAAGGAAAAACATCGTGAGGAAACCTGGACTTATAATTTCTAATTATAAGTTTGAAATCGCCAACCCGCATTGAGCAAGCGTGGTGATTAACGCTCTAACCTTCTCCGTATGAGAAGAGGCTTTGCTCAGCAGTGGGCATTTATAAGCTGTTGATGATGGAATATTCCTAAGTGGATACTCGATTTTTTACTAACGCCATTACTTTTAATTTTCTCCCCTCCATTACTGAGTAAAAAAACAGGGAAGGCTAACATTTTTAATTAAATTAAAAGGCGTCAACTATTAGTACGGCGTTTAGTATTCACTCGGGAACGTAGTCGTGACACGCACCTTGAAATGTCAATTTATAACAATTTGGACCGAAGGGGCTCGTCTTTGGGCGGTGGGTTTTATTAGTTATATTATTTGAAAATTTTTTTGGGGCTACTGAAGGTGTTTTTAGTGGGAATTGTTATTGTTACATAACATCACGCCTTTTTTCCCCGAAGGGGTAGGCACAGGTGTACATTCCGGCATTTAATGCCACTGTACAATGTAACACCCACTTTTCACTATTTATATTACGAGTCCCATGTAATAGGGGGTGAGCCTATTGCCATATACCGGGCACAATTCCAGACTCCATGCTACTACTGAGATTTTTTGAAAAAACTCAATAATACTTTGCTCGACCCGGGAATCGAACCCGAGACCCCTTGCCCGGCAGTTGCACTTGCGACCACTCAGCCAACGAGGCAGTCTACAGTCGATGTTACATAATCAAATACATAAACCATTCTAATTATTTAAAGAATCTGTGTTAATACTAAAATTTTATAGCCGAAAAAATACTAATCATATTTTCTACGACCTGGTTTTTATTTTTAAAGCGTGATCCCAACTTTCATATTTTCTTTTAGTTTTGGGATTCGTTTTAGAATGTTCTGTTTTCAAGTTCTCGTTTGTCGGTTATGCATGCACGGCTAAAACCATTATACAAAACCTAGCGTGTATGGCCTCCTGAAAACATATTTGTATTTAGTAATTTGTCATGACATACCCGACTCTGCAGTTTCTGTATCGGGAACCCTTCAAAGTAGAAGGTCTCATTCCACCTCGGGTTCAGGGTGCGTCGCTTGATCTTCGTCTCCAACCGGTGCTTCTTGTCCGGCAGTAGTGTTACGCGGACGTACGGGTCGGATGTACCGCTCAAATCCTTAGCTGGTAATTCCTTGCCCTGTAAAAATTTTCAAGGTTAAATTGCACAACATTTTGGAAAGATGGCGTGTTGCTTGCCGCGATGATTGTGACGTAAGTAGCTTAAGATTTATGGGCTCCTGGCTCGGGTTGAAATTAGTTGAGAAACCTTGTTAAATAGTACATTAGAAAATTAAAGGGCTCTGTACCGTAACCAGTTTCTTTTAACTATAGAAAAGGGTAAAAATTAGATTAGAAAATTCTAAGGGCTTTAAAAGTTATTTTATTAACTAGCTACTTCCGCGCGGTTTCACACGCTCTGCTCAGCTCCTATTGGTCGTAGCGTGATGTTTTATAGCATATACCCATCTTCGATAAATGCGCTATCCAATACAAAAAGAATTATTCAAATCAGACTTGTAGTTACGGAGATTAGCGCGTTCAAACAAACAAACAAAAAAACAAACTCTTCCGCTTTATATAACAGTATAAGATATAAGATTTACGGTTGTATTCTTTGGACTTTACGGGGTCTTTAGTCCAGCCAGACTTTTGGGGGAATCGTACCCGATTATTATACTATTTTCTTTGACAACATTAAGTAATAATTAGAAGTGATTACGCCAAGTAATGTGTGAGTTATTAGAATAACTGAAACACAAAGCAATTTACTTTATGTTTCACTATTTTCTGTACAATAGAATTTTTCCAATATACGTACCAAGCGTCTTATGTTTATTCGTTCAATTATAACCTCTATTCGTGATGGTACAATAGTCAGGTCATTATTGATATTTGTATAACTCATTGGCAAACAAAGACAAGTATGAAAAACTTGGAGAATTATTACTATATTATGTTTTGTACTAATAAATATAAAAAATGTTTGTTTAGTTGAAGTTTGGGAGTGATAAAAGTGTTAATTTAAGCTGTTAGCTAGCTCATAATATTGTTGAAATGTATGAAGTTACATTTGAACATTATTGTGGTTTTAAACATTGTTAATTTTCCTTATCATTCTTGGAAGAAAACCTATCTCTAGTCTTCTCACGAGTCGTAAGAGAGAGCAAAGACCTACACATTTGACCACAACTGGGTACTTGGCAGCATCGCTTGCTAATAATCCTGAACTTCTTAAACTTCGATCCTCAACACTGCCAATCTTGGGAATTATGATAAACACCTCAGAGCACAGATGCCTTTGTACGAGTTTGTTATCGTAAAGAAGGCCGCGTTCGACGCTCTGATTGGTTGCTTCATTGGTGCCGGCCAATCAGAGCGCCGAACGCATACTCGTTTCGAATACTGTAAACGTAAATGAAACTCGTACTAAGGCCTCAGATTAATTAATAGTTAGGTACTACGTAACTCAGAGTGCCAAGAAGCACGAATAACTAGAGGTATAGCATTCGTTACGTAAGAGAATCGAGTGCGTTCGGCGCTCTGATTGGCCGGGTCCAGAAAACCAACGTGTGCTTGGCATTCTGTTATAGCGGAGACTAATGGTCTAGCAAGGAATAGGGATGATGACAGGGTATGAAAATTAAAAATCTAATTAGTCCGTCAGTTAGGTAATGAAAAAATATTAGACACGTATTTTTTTATTTTGTTGTATAATTAAACAATACCTAGATAAAACGAATCAAAGTTTAGGAGTGGGGGCTAAAACATCATTTCTACGTCTACAATGTACCTACATAGAAGTGACGTCACGCGACATTTCAAATTAATATATCGTCGAAAGTATTCGTTTCTCTCTGCCTCGTTGGCCGAGTGGTCGCAGGTGCGACTGCCGGGTAAGGGGACTCGGGTTCGATTCCCGAGTCGGGCAAAATATTACTGGGTTTTAAAAAAAATCTCAGTAGTCGCACGGAGTCTGGAATTGTGATATATATGGCAATAGGCTCACCCCCTAGTACATGGGACTCATAACATAAATAGTGAAAAGTGGGTTTTACATTGTACAGTGGCATAATATGCACCTCTGCCTATCCCTTCGGGGATAAAAGACGTGATGTTATATAGGGATATATATATTCGTTTCTGTAAGAAAATTAAAAATACGTGTGTAATGTTTTGAAATAAGCTACCAGACGGACATTAAAATAAAAATTGAGCCGTTGATGATCATCTTTCAACCCTTATACTATAGTTTAGACAGTGGTGTCTGTTCTCTGTCAAATTCTTAGTCTGTTCTTAGTCGGTTTTTACTACACCAGCGGGAAGAGTAGGTGACAAATGTAATCTATTCTGTCGTCACATAGCTAGAAAGATTGATTAAGCTGAAGCCATGCTTTGGCACGAATGGGCTGGCTCGACCGGAGTTATACTATTGCCTCACAGTAAACCAGCGTGAAACAACGCTTGCGTTGCGTTTCGGCGTGTCAGTGAGGTCTACTAGAGGCCCAATCCACTCCAATTCTCTATTCTTCTTCCTCAATGCCTAAATCCTTATATCCCTAATCCGCAATCCTAATTCCCAATCCCTAAAACGCAGGTATCGTACAAGTAACTCCTCTAGTATTGCGAGTGTCCATGGTCGGCGCCGATTGCTTACCATCAGGTGATTCGTCTGCTTGTTTTGGGGCAAACCATTAAAAATCTTAATTTAATTTGTTTTTCTTACCTGAATGATCCTCAATATCAGGGTAGTGTTCTGGAAATCGTACTCCAGGCTGAAGTGGATCTGGCCAACGTTCTCCGATGGTTCTGAATTGTCGATGTACATGTCCACCAGGGAAATGGAACGATTCTGGAGAAACGCCATCTGTTAGCACAAATCAGAGACTTAAAGCGTTTGCGCGACTGTGGCGCCGTTTCGAAGCGATGTTTTTGTTGATAGAAACAGTATTTTTTTTTATTTAGATGTGTTTTGGGTTTTATAGTTTTTTTTTTTTTATGATATGTAAGAATTATCACTATCAGTATTTGTTTTTCTAAAAAATCTTTCTGTTAGTCGAAAAAATTACCGTTTCTATCAATTTTTTCATTAATTCGTATCGTGCAGAACCAAAGATTTGTATCACTCCTTAAAATAGACTAAAAAGTATGATTTTTTCTCAATAAATTAATGTTTTATTTTTTCCTTTTTTCAGATGACGTCGTATTTTATTATCATAGTCTATTTTCATTTTGTCTCGAATTAAAAAATCATACTTGTTATTTTTTTTATGATGCAGGTTGACGTCACAAAACTCAAAAAGGGGTGACATGCAAGAAAACATTTTTAACTGAGGTTTTCAAGGCTTTTCAGGTTTTCTGCTCTATCGTTACAATAATGATCATATTAAATTATATTTTTTTTGTACAAATGGGGTAGAAAGAATTTTTATAAGTTTACAAAAAGATTGTAAAATTGCTTCGAAACGACATTATTTCGTAATTAAGTTAGGTTTAAAATCAATTTTGCATTTTAAGCAGTCGAAACTATGACTAGTCTATACTATTTAGACTATATCTACTGAATTTTAATAATTAATTTCAAAATACTTTATTAAATATTTGGAAATAATATTACTCTAGCCTTCTTCTATGTAATAAAATTATTGATTTTAAGACAAAAATTTTAAAAAGATAATGTGAGATCACAAAAAATGCGGAAAAATAAAATAAGTTTTTAAATATTTTTTGTATACCAATTTTTATTTTGAAATCTCACACTATAGTATTGTTTAGCTATTTTACAAGATTATTAATTTATACTATAAAAAAATAAGATTTATTTAAAGTTTTTGATGGTGTCATGGTGCTAAGCTAATCTATTTTCCTATAGGCTACATCTATTTTCTAAACTTTGTCGTGACTGTTGTGAAACAACCGGTGATACCCAACGATAAAAAACTTAAAAAAAAAGTATTCTGTGATTTTTTAGTTGCGAAAAATTACAAATTATTGCCACTCTTTGTGGTATTTTGGAAAACAAAAAAACAAATGTTAAAAAATTCATCACTCTTGTGTTTTTTTTTGCTATTTTTGTGATTTTATTTGCGTTGCAGTTACTGTAAGTACGTTTTTACAGAAAAAAAAAAATGTTTAAGCCTTTCAGATCAGACCAAGCGGCATCACTGAAAAATCAAGCATCTTAAATATAAGAAAAAATGTGTTAAAAGCGAGTCATTAAGCGTTCCGTTGTGTTTTTCGTTGTAAAACCTCTATTTCTTTCTTATACAACCTCTTCTACCTACCATGTTTGAAGGAGAAAGCATGGAAAGAGAATTCATAGTTTAGAAAAAACTTCACCAAAAAAAAAATAAAGACCAGAAAACAAAACAAAAAAAGTACAAGGAGCACAGTTCAAATTTTTTTACAGTATGGAAACACAAATAAAACACTCGATCTAAAAAATTTTTTTTCACGAATTTTTCGTTGTTTTTTTTTTACCAAAAACGTTTTTTTTTCTACATTTGTATAGTCTTAATTCTAACGCGTTTAAATCGTGACTGCTTAAGATTATTTGATATAGATATTTACGTCAACTATTTATGATACGTGAGGTTCTAATTCGACTTGTAAGTATGTGTAACTAATCTAACTACTAAATATATTAATACTGTGGTACGATGTTTAAAGTTTAATAAACAATAATATCATTGTTGTCTCTCCGGTGAAGGTATCTTGCTGTTCAAGCATCTAAGTGTACTTTGGGGTCTTTCGGAATCTGGCAGGTACCAATTATAAACAGTGCAGCAGGTCAACATAAGCTTTTCTTTATTAGATTTTCAAGCTTCAACCTAGGCGTCTTAAGTTTTCATCAGTCAAAAAAATGTTATTGTCTTTTTTATGAGATAACTCGATAAACGAGCAGGGTATAACCTGATGGTAAGCGATCGGCGTCGCCCATGGACAGCCGGAACTGGTATGATACTTATGTGGCTCACATATCTTCTATATGTAAAAATGAAACCCGTTTTCCGTTGCCACGCCATAACTTGAGAACGGCTAGACCGATTTGGCTGATCTTTTTTTTGTTTAGTTTGTTAAGGTTCTTACGACAGAAAAAATCCTATGGAGACGGGAGAAAACGGGATTGCGCATACGAAGTCGCGGGCAGAAGCTAGTTAAAAATAAATAACTTTGTGCTGTCGGATGTTGCTGAGTAACCAGGTACCAACGTTGGTAGCATTTCTTTTTTTATCCCAAGAAATGGTCTGCCACGTGGGTGCAAGGGTCCGGAAAATATATTTCTCCCGTCCCCGCACTCGTGGCGGTAGTCGACCCCACTTATAATATGTAACCCAAGCAAAATCGTATATAATAAGGCTTTATAATAATTATTGAACCATAATAATATACATATTAATAAGAGAGATTTCCGGGCAACTCACCGAAATGGAAATATTCTTACAAAAACTTTTACGACTGAATAAAACTTCAAGGATGCTGTTTTCAGCGAATTAAGTGAAATATTTTTACTGAAGGAAAATATTTTGTAGCTGATTTTCTGTGAATTGTTTTTAATGAGAAGGTCCTTTTTTTTTTGGTGGAGGGGGAAACATTCAAAAGGCACCTAGCCTTTTTGGGGATAAAAGACTAGGGAGTGTGGGATTTTAACCTCACTAAAACCACCCGGTGGCCACCGTCAACACCTGAATGGAGGCACCGGGTCCTCTAAAAGAGACCTGCTTCGGAGCCTCCATGGTGCAACGCCTGTTACGACACATCCCTAGGGAGACGGGTGTCTCCTTTAAGCTTTGCTGTGTACGGCGGCACGTGACCATTGTGCCACCGTCTTCCCTGAGACCAGAGGGGACTATAGGTGCCCACCTAGAGTCCCCTCTCTACGCACCCTTGGCCCCAAAGGTCCGTCTGAGGTAATGAGAAGGTACCTACAGTAATTCGCTCGACGTCAAAGTGGCAAATGTCGAGGTTTTGGGTACGATTTCGTGGTCACAAAATACAACTGTTTGTTTTTTGAAATTTATCTTTATATCTTCCACGAAATTTCTTATGTTTTTGTGGAGGGCAAAATCCTCCAAAACTTCTCTCGCCTTGGGTGAGGGAATGTCAGACTTTTACTAACTAAAAGCCACCCCGTTCCTACTTCTGCTTCAAGCCGGAGTCCTGGCAACCCGCCAGGCCGTCCGCAGTTCCAGGTATACCACGAAACTTAACATTGTGTTCAAAGTATGATAATATGCTCACCTCGTTACTTAAAAATAAGTAAAGCTTGTGTTACATTGTATATACAATAAGCTCAATTCGTTACATAACTGAAGAAAAGACTACCTCATTGGCCGAGTGGCTACCAGAGCGAATGCCGGACAAGGGGTCTCGGGTTCGATTCTCGGGTCGGGCAAAGTAATACTGGGTTTTTAAAAACCTCAGTTGTAGCATTGAGTCTGGGATCGTGCCCGGTATATGGCAATAGGCTCACCCCCTATTACATGGGACTCATAACATAAATAGTGGAACGTGGGTGTTACATTGTACAGTGGCATTAAATGCAGTAATGTGTACCTCTGCCTATACCTTCGGGGATAAAAGGCGTGATGTCATGTTATGTTATGTAATAATAATGAGATTATAAGTGACAACATTACTTAATCAAAACATCCTCAAAAACACCGTCAACAAGCGAATAATACATAATGTAATCACTTATCTTTCCCCCGAAGAAACAAGGGATAATATACCATTATATTGCTTGGTATACAACAGTATACATTACAAAATAACGCACACAATTCCCCCACTTATATACCCGGGCTGTATTATCTACTGCCTTATTGTTCTCACTACTGCGGGGAAGCGTTTGAGTATGTATGAGACTATGTTTCAGTGTAAATTATTATGTTTCCAACTAACTAAATCTGCCAATGACTTCATTGCTAAGAGCCTCGACCAACACCTGAATAGGCTAGCGTTGCATTGGTTGCGTGAAGGCCTGATGCAGAAAGCAGTACTTTTGGACACGGCGCGTATTGTCCGGAAATTCTTAGCTCTGGAGTCCTGACTTATAGCTTGGATTTCTCCCGTTATTGGTGGATATATTTTTATAATCAAATATTTAAACATATGTAACAGAATATAGAAATAAATGAAGGGATTAATAATTTAGTATGTCTCACAAACGTAGCATAATATAATGTTTCAATGGCAAAGAATGTAATAATAATGATATTGTAACTTACATACACAGGAGAAAACCCTAGCGTGAGGTAACGCTATCATTAAATGAAAAAAGAAATGCCATTTTATCTTCTATGGGGTAGGGAAGCAGTGTAACACACTGTAATAATTATTTTTTACGACTTATGTCACTATATTTGTATAGACAGGGACTATTTTATAGTCTGAAATAACTTTTTAACGCGGTAACACGGGCAAAGCAACTTTCAAAAGCTAGTTAAACATGTTCTACATTATTGGCATTCCGCCCGTGTGTTTAGCATGGCCAAACGTAAGTAATAATACACCTAAAATTATACCAGGAATGCCATTTTTCATTGGGGAATACCATACAAAAATTGGTAATTTTTCAGTATATCACACACATGTAGATAGATAAATAGACAGATAGACGCCAAATTTCTTTTCGAATAATTATATAAGTATTAAGCGCTCTACTTCATCAATACTCCACGTCCCGTTTTTCCCCAACATCAGTAACTATGGCTTTTATTCTTGCTATTGGCTACGAACGTGTAGCTTATAAAGGAGAATACAGATTATATCACAGTTGTCGTACTATATGACAGTTGTAGGATTATATTACAGTAATAGTCTTATATGACAATTGTAGGATTATATTACAGTAATAGTCTTATA